GTGCAGACCACTCCAGACTACAGTCCTCAGGAGGCCTTCACCAATGCCATCACAGACCTCATCAGTGAGCTCTCTCTGCTGGAGGAACGATTCCGGGTAAGCAGCTGGGCAGGGACTTGTGAATTGTGTTGATTCAGCAGCAGAGCTGGCCCCGTCCCCAACTAGCATCCCCCAATCAGGGTCCGAGACATAACTTAGTGGTACATTGTTTGCCTAGCACAATCAAGGCCTTAGGTACCATCTTCAGCATCAAAAACCATAACCAAAATCTCTCCCCTTTGCCACTGGCTCTTCTGGCTCATAAGGCTTCTGAGACTCCTGAGGGAATCTTCATCCCAGGATGGGAGTCGCAGTTATTGGTCAGGGACCCTCACCTTTTGAGATTTTCATCTCACTTGGCTCCATCCCTAGCCCTCAGCAAACAGGTGCCTCAGAGCAGGGAAGGTGGAACCTGCTGAAGCACCTGCACCCTTGAGCCTTTGGGTACTGGTCTGCCTTGTGTGATAGTCTCTGGAGAACTTCTAGAAGGACTGCAGTGCCAGGTTCCTGGTGCCACACAAGCAGGGGATACTGGGGTCATTCCATGTAGTCACTGCCATTGTCCTTCCTCTTCAGGTGGCCATCAAGGACAAGCAAGAAGGAATTGAGTAGCAGCTAAAAGGAGCATTGCTTAATGGCTGGAAGGCTGGTGCACACACCCTCAGGCTCCTTTCAGTATTCTCGATAACAGCCACCCTCTCCTCTCTGTAGCTGGATGTTGCCCTGTTCTGTATATAGATTGCTATTTTCCTAATAAAGTACAGCAGGAAAAGACCCATATGCAGCAGGACAGCAGCATGTGGGTTACCTGTGCACAGCAGGTGGCCTGTCACACAAGAGACCTAACCACAGACTGCGGCAGACCCTGGGGCTGCTGGGGAGGGAGGTCCTTGTCCTTGGATCTCTGTTTGCAAGCTGCTGCTTCTACTGGCCTCTTAGTCCACAGTAGAGAATTTAATAAAAATACTCACTGGTACAAAAACCTCTACCATTAGCCCCAAGCTGATACGCTGTGACCCTGATACCCTGCCTGTGCAAGCTAGCAACTCCTCCAGATGGACACGATGTTGGAGTCAGTCAGAGCAGTGAGGTACGTAAAAGCTGCATTGGCCACAACCGTGTTTACCATGGTCTTGGTCACTGGTTGGCCCTGTGCTACTGGCTGAGGCCATTTCAGGATCTAAGGAGGGAAAAAGAAGGTGCTAGGCTCCTACCAACCAAAGAGCAGCCCAAGGATATCAAGGATGCACAGGGGGCCCATGTGGCAATAGTACCTGAGTTGGGGCCTGCGGAGTTGCTGCCAGTGGAGGCGGCTGCTTT